TAGGTAACCTGTGTATCAGCCGTATATCTCAAAAGTAGCGATTGCAACGGCCGCAGAAAATTAGAGGGGTTTGTATGAGAAAAAACAACTCTTGCTGCCCAGTCACACTTGAGTGGTTTTCCATACAACTCCTTGATAGTTCTGAAATTTTTAAACTGTCGTTAAATATTTCCCCTTCGAATTTAAGGGCTCAAAGTGCCTGTTATGAACTAAAAGGGGATTTGAGCCCCGTAATGCTTAAAGAAATATTTCACGACAGTTTGAAAATTTCGAAATTTACAATGATTGATATGGAAAACCATTCAAGGGTGTTGCAATCGCTACTTTTGAGATATACGGCTGAAAATGTACAGGTCACCAAATTTCAATATGCTCTTTCAGTTCCTGCTAACAAAATGTTTCAAATGCGAACTGTTTTCGCGTTCATCGAAAAATCATCACGTGATCAACTAATGCAAAAGGCCAATTGCATTGTGCTTCAATTTGAATACAACATAGCATTTCGTATTCTCGGTATTTATTATTGCATTGAAATTTGCATATTTTGTCATTGCGCCCTTTTGGGACTAATTCGTCCATCTACGGGACTTTTAACACACTACTTGTCCCAGGCAGACGAGGAAGTTGGTGGTGTTACAACACCAAACCAGTATCAAATTCTTACTATGTCCTTCAGTGTGTCAAGAAAACTGATCAAATATTTTATGAGTGGGTTTTGGTGGGGTGGGGTGGGGTTGTGCAATTGCCAAACAACAGTTTGGCTTAATTAGGGTAAGGATCTCTCATGTAGTCCTTGTAGTACGTAGCCCTTGTTAAATTAATACGTTTAATAAGAAAGAAATCAATTTTTTTTTTCAAAAGAAAAGTCTCTTGGTTAAACAGTTATTTCAATTAACGTTGTCGGATTTGTCGCCTCAAGCCTACCGCGTGTACACAATTGTAATCGTAACCGTTACTTGTAATAGGGAGCTTAAGCGACGACACCTGCAACGAGAACGTCAAAAGAGGAAGAGGTTTAGATTGGCAAAACAACAACTTTGCATGTGCAGCATGCTTTTCTGTACATTTCTTTGCCATCACTACACCACTACGTGAAAATGTCCTATTTCATGTTTTGTAGAGGACGTGAACACAAGTCAACGACTTTCTTTTCCTTATCCTAAACTTCGATACAGTCTTTTCAGAATTCAACTGTTGGAGAGATTGCCAACATTCGACAAATAGAATGAGATGGAATAAGCGCGATAACGTTTGAAGCAGCGCGACAACACTTTTTTAGTCACGTTTTCGTAGCCGTCACCGTCCTTGTTGCTTAAACTCTTTATTCTGTCAGAACTTCGCGATTGTTTATGTACCATTGAAAAATTAGGTAAAAAATATTACCTTAAAGGTTTAATGATAGAAGACTTGACTCAAGTCTGCGCAAGGCGGATTTTATCTTGAAATTTCGCAGGCTTTCCGAAAACGTTGATATTTGACGTTCTATAGCACAACTGCGATACAGGTGTGCCGTACTTTCTGTGATGAGGTTTTTGAATGCCTATTACTGTGATGTGACCCAAGCTAAATCACATTTGATGTCACAGACGTTGCCGTCAAACATACAACAACAGAAAAAGCAAAAAAAAAATTCTTTGACCATTATTATTTGCGGATGAATGCTATTCGTCGATATTTATATTAGCTAAAAAAATTCAGTTATTTGTTGTCTTTGATTTTATGCCTTTTCTGTTTGAGGGCATGCGAGGATAGTTTTATATTTAACAGGGATTTTTAACTTGCAGATCCATTTGATGAACTTCCTGTCCAGATCAATGTTGTGAATTATTACTCCGCAAGTTCTGGACGGCTACGACATTTGAGGGCCACGCCCTTTCCAGTTTAAAATATATATAAACTTCAACAAAATTTATCTTTTGACTTGAGTATTAATTGGTTTTGAAAATTGACCGTCTTTAATAATTTTTGGTGTTTTCATTGGTAACGTTTTCCTTACTTGGCTAATAAAGAAATAATTGCCTTTAACTTTGTTGGAAGTCTCTTTATATTTTAGCCATTTAGCTGTCACGTAAATCTGTTTTGCTTTAATAAAAAGTGTTTTAAGGTCAGCGTAGTACGTCGTTCCATAAAAGAGTAGAGTGTAATAAAGTGTAATGATACGGTCACAAATTCACGATTTAATAAGTGGTTGAAAAGTTACGTAGCCTCTGAGTGCAAATATACCTTTTTGTTTTTATAGTAGGCGACTGCACGTAGGCTCACGTTGCACTAGCAACGACGGCGCGAGCACAAGGGTGCTTACCTCACCGTAAAATAGTGTGAATGCATACACGAGTTCATGTTTTTGCCCTCCCGTGTGCATGCGCTTTTACTTGCGTTTAGGTTCTGCCGCATCCTTAAACACAGCAATAGCACAAACCAAAATTAGACACTATACCCTGTAAGCAGAGGTTTCTTTATGGCATTACTTTTCTCAGTCTGTCCCTTGGCTTTTCAGTCGCGTACTTGGTTTCTAAATCACACTGCTCGCGGGGAAAATCACTAGTGCCAGTGTCACTCGTGTAGGAGTGCGTTCTGCGATTTTGGCTTAATACAGGTCGAGGAATAGGTGTGATCTATTTGTTCGACAACATTTTTTTGCCACAAAGTTTCAAAAATAAACGTACATTTTCTTTTCGCTGTTGGGTAAGATGTATAGTACTGCGCTTGCAATTTCGTTTAAGATTGAATCAACTTCACTTGAAAAAAAAAAGTCAGAATGGTGCTATTCATCACTTGAACATCTACAATCTTGTTTGCCACCTAAAATCGCATTGTGACTTACACTTTATGATAGCGAGTTTAAAGCAGATAAGGAAAGTAACCTGACGTTGATTTAAGCCAAGCTTCTAGAAATTCAAGTAAAACATACACATTATGTAACCTACTCAAATTAAGGGCATTCGTCGTATTTCCTAAATTTAATTATAATGGTAATTGAACTAGGTGGAGGGTAATTTTTCAGACATCATACTCGTCATTTCAAAATCCGGGCTAGTTTGATTTGAAATCACAAGTATGATTTTAGACCAAATTGGGCACGACACATTTTTCTTTTTACATTTCATCACATACATTTTCATAAAGTCGCTCAATTTAGCTGCCCAGATACAGGATTTTAGTCAGCATCAATATATATTTCGTTGATCCAGTAGCCGGTTTGTCAAAAAGTGGTAATGGAAACGCTTCTTACCTTCAGCACATTCTGTATGAAAAACAAAAGTGATTTACTGAGCAGAAATGTTGCGCTTCCAATTAAGTTCTAATTATTTTCTTCCTTATATTAAAAAATATAAATTTTCTTGTTTTGTGATACTCTATATTGTTTCGTGAATTATATGTTCGGCTTTAAAACTTCAATAAGTTTAAGCACGAAAACTTAAATTTTCATATGAGCGCTGCACAGATTATAATTACATTACTGTAGATCCAAGGCGTTTTTAAAATTACCTAGTTCTAATTAAGAAGAACCCAAGCGAATGCCCACCGATATACTCAGTCAGAACGTAAAAGCTGTTTTTGCCGTCGCTTGATAACAAACCTTAGAAATAAGTCCGAAATTCATTGCATTTTTGTTGTCTCCTTTGATAGCATTCAAAAGTGTTGTCAAAGTGAAAATTTCGTATTCAGCTTCATCTTTAAAAACCACTAAAAGTATAGCGCAGCCACCACGTTTGACTTCATCTTTGACGTGCGTCAAAAGTGAAGTCAAAGTTACCGGCATATTTGACAACACCTTTGACGAGTGTTAAAGGAATAGCACAACGTTCACGCATTTGACTTTACCTTTGACGTGCGTCAAAGGTAAAGTCAAAGTTACCAGCATATTTGTCACACCTTTGACACACGTTAAAAGAATAGCAAAGTGTTGATTCATTTGACTTCACCTTTGACGCGCGTCAAAAGTGAAGTCAAAGTTGCTAATCATTTGACTTCGCATTTACCAAGGTCAAAGGAGTAAACAAATAGGTTATATATTTGCCTGTATCTTTAACGCACGTCAAAGGTGATGTCAAAGCCGATACCATATTTGACTTAACTTTTGACGCGCGTCAAAACTGCAGTAAATCCAATTTAACGTCCCGTGGAAGCTCTTATGCGACTCGTATGGAAGCAGTTTGTTCCATGGCTAACTGTTAACCATGCAGACAAAGTGGGTAAACTACGTGTCCTTCAAGTCAAGGTCAGCGACATGGTCAATGAAGTAGAACTCCGACAGTGTGAAAGTATTTTGAACAGTGATCCTTTCAAAGAAATTCACCTGATTTGGATGCAATACTTGCGCTCTGAGAATGGCCCACTGTCCTGCTTTTGGATGTTGTACATTGACATTGTCGGTGATGTACTACTTGGATTGATTCGAGCATCTCATGAAGGTAACTGGCAGCTACATCTCTACGCCATTCGTAATATGATCCCGTGGTGCTTCGCGTACGACAAAATAAACTATGCTAGGTATCTACCTGTCTACTACACTCAGATGATAAATCTCCCCTCCGAACACCCGAACGTGTATTCCAACTTGATGAATGGAAGATTTTCCGTTCAACTTGCTGGAGAAAGCCCTTTTGGGCACATCCCTGTAGACCAGACCACGGAAGTCACTGTCAACAAGGACACGAAGTCAAGTGGGGGCAACAATAGAGAGTCTGATTTGAAGGCTGGAACAATCAATTCACAGAGAGGAAAGAGCTTGTGAGTTTGTCCACTGCCAAACAAGCGCTGAAGATGTAACCAGAGACCTTTTGAACGCTCGAAAAGTCGGCGAAGAGGCCTATCAAGTGTTCAAAGAGCAACGTCTGGAATCGTCTCCACCACAGAGAAAATTTCATGACACAATGAAGTTGAACAAACTGAAAACCTTTTCATCCCTTAGTCAGAAGAAAATGGTTTCCACTGACGGCAGGACGATGGTCTTGAAAGCCGATAGTTCTCTTTTTGGGCGGATCATAATCATTGGTCAGAGCCGGAAGATTGATGTGAGAGAACTGCTACAGTACAGCTTGGGGCCATTGCCGTGGTCTTTAGCAACTACAGAAGGGTTTCTTCGACAAACAAACAAAGCAGCGCTAGCTACTCCCCTACAAAACGATGTACCGTTAGCTGACAGCCTTCCGCAGAACTCAGATGCTATTATCGACGGTATGAGTCTAGTTCAGAAGTTGAGCGTTGGTGGAGGACAGACAACCTTCGCAATGGTTGCTTCTTCTCTTCTAACAAAAGTTCTTCACGAAGGCTCCCAGAGCAACAGAATCGACGTGGTTTTCGATACATACAGAGATATGTCAATTAAGAACGCAGAGAGAACCATGCGTGGAGAAGTTGCGGGAGTTCAACTGTCGCATATAAGTTCTACTCAGCTGGTCAAGCAGTGGAGAAAGTTCCTGTCGGAGGTCAAGAACAAGACAAGTCTTATCAAGTTCATTTCCAGAGAATGGAGAGAAGAAGACTGCATGAAAAGGCTGAAAGGAAAAACATTGTTTGTTACTGCCGAGAGCGAATGCTGGAAGATAACTGAAAAGGGAAGCGAGAATGTGGCAGAGCTGACAAGTAACCAGGGGGAAGCTGACACTCGTCTACTGCTTCACGCTAAACATGCTGCCCAGGGGGGGGTATGAAACAGTCGCAGTTATCTCAGAAGACACAGACGTGTTTGTCTTCCTTTTGAACTTCTCAAGCATTATCAACACTAGACTCTATATGAAGTGCAGTACCAGAACGAGGACGCGACATCAAAGGAGCAGTTCAGAGAACCAGGCAAGAGATATGCGAGGCACTGATTGGTTACATTCTTTTACAGGGTGTGATTCAGTAAGTGCCTTTGCTGGTAAAGGAAAGATAGGGGCTCTTAAAATCCTTAAAAGCAATGAAGGCGCAAGAAGAGCGTTCCGAGAGCTTGGCCAGTCCTGGACAGTATCAGAGGACCTTTACACTTCGCTTGAGAAGTTCACCTGCTCCATGTACATACCAGTCGGCAACACAACCAGCCACGTGAATGATGCACGATACGAACTGTTCTGTGCAAAGAATGGCGAACTGGAGTCACACCAGCTACCTCCTTGCCAGGACTCCCTTCGGGAACACATTCTACGTAAAAAACTACCAAGCAGGTTAGTTGACAACGCCTGTTTCTATTAAATATTTGTCACAGGAAATGTGATGAGGATAACAACTAATTTAGTATTACATCACTCCTGCAGCTTTATGGAGACGGAGCCTGGAGGCTAACCCAGACATTCCCAGTCCAGATGGTATGGGGTGGATAACACAGACCTCCACTGACGCTGCATCCACTGAACTAGTGATCGACTGGATGGACGGGCAGCCAGCTCCTTCTGCTGCCCTGGAACTGCTGGCGTGTAAATATAAGAAGACCTGTGAACTCCCACGTTGTGTTTGCATGAACAGTGGTTTGAAGTGCACGGATCTCTGCTCGCTAAACGACTGCACGAGCCAGCCAGCTCAAGACGATTCATCAAACATTATTGATAATGAAGCAGACGAAGATGATGATGATGACTTTAAATGGACTTTGTAGATTGCAAATATTCTGGGAAGTTGTTAGAGAAACAGCAACTTCCATTTTCAATAGGAATGCATGCCGCAGTAGCTAAAACTTAAAAGGAAAGTTTCTTCAAATAAAGAAAAATGTGCTTTTTTGCATGAAGATGAGTTTCCTTCCCAGAAGAATATACTTCAGTTAGTAAAAATTGAAGTTATATCGTAAACAGCAATAACAAAAATAGCTTGAGCCGCGAGTCTGGGAGACTGGGAACGAGTGTTTAAAAATGAATATTACGGCAAAATATTATTTTTTTTGACAGGAATTTGCATCAGCTTGCACAATTGAACGTTAAATGTAAAGTCGAACCATTGAGATAACTTTTAAAATACTTCGGAAGGTACATATTTCATCTTTTTGCCAATCTGAAAACAGTAGTTCGGTATATTTGGCATTTTATGGCAATTCGACCTACCACGTGATCACTATGACGTGTATTTGGTGGTTAAGAGTGATTGTTAAGTCAATAACGTGTGACTTGCATATAAATTGGCCATTGTATGGATCATAACATACTTGTAAATGCTTTTCTTTATGTTCAGTAGTCTAAGTGAGTAAAAGTCCTCTTAGGGGGGTAGGGGTAAGAAAAGCGGCATGTAACGCTTAAAGATGACACTTTGTGCAGTGCTATCACTCAAAAATAAAAACTTGGGTTAATAACCTAGGTTTTTATAGGCATAAGTCTTTGTCCGTTTGAATGGTACCAATCGACCATTTTTGAGGTCCTGGCTCATACACTATGTGAAATTTTGACCAATCAGAGCATAAAAATTGGACGTAGAGCGTGACCAACGCGTGAACATGGCGTAAAAAGTCAAAAGCAACTGTCTTCCCTGCCTGTAGCAGCTGGCTGAAGTTTCGCGTGTGAGGTCAGTTTGAAATAAAAAATTTTAATTGTGCGGCACATAAACACAACATATTTCATATGAATTTTTAAAAAAATTAAACTTGAGCCTGCGATCATTTGAAAACCAGTACCTTGTCAGCGGATAACTTCAAAAAAAACACTTGACCTCGATGGGTCGACACCTGAGCCCGCGATACAGTCAAGTGATACTGGCCAGCGGATACCTTGTTTTGACAGCTGTCAATGGATCACAACATTAACGTGTATCAGTTTTCCTGTGCTCCGATCCCAAACTAGCTAGAAAGTATGAGACTGAACATTGATCGCGATCTACTAAAATAATTAACTGCTCAGCGGACAGCTTCCAAATAAATCACGTCACCTCAATGAGTTGACACATGAGCCTGCGATATGATTATGGAATAATGGTCAGTGGCTATCCTGTTTTGACAGCTGTCAATTGACCATATTGTGAATGTCGAATGTAAAAGATGTGGACTTGGCAAGACACGCCTGAGACACCCCTCCCTTCCTTTTGATAGCCTCCCCTACCCCACCCGTACAATCCGTAGACGCGTACGCTCGGTCAATCACGTGACAACCAAAGGAAAAGAGGTTGACTATAATCTATGGGTATGGGGTTCTGTCCCACGCGCGCTTCGCGCGTACGTTCGGTCAATCACGTGACAACCAAAGGAAAAGAGGTTGACCATAATCTATTGGTATGGGGCTCTGTCCCACGCGCGAAGCGCGCGTGGGAGCCCGCTATAATACAGCTTAAAATTAATAATGCATGTGCTTGAATGAAAAGGTTTTTTTGTTTTTGTTTTTGAAAGGAAAAAGACACTGAGATATTACATGATGTCTCTCTTTTGCTTAAAGGCCATTTTCAGCAAACTTTTTAGACTGCGAGCAGTCTCTCTTTTGCTCGAAAATCCATAAGCGATAGTATTTGAGCAGCGAAGTCCCGCGAGTTGCGAGAATGTGCGTTGCGAGGGCGCAAATAGCATCACATCACATGTTTACTGTGCCTCTTGGGAGAACTAACGGTTTGTTTCATCAAAATCGGTCAAAAGGTTCGACTTTAATTTTAATTAAAATAATAATAACCTAATAATAATAATAACCTAATAATAATAATGACTGTTTATTAAGACTCATTGCAGAAATATACAGAATGGCTGAATTACAGAGCTATTTACAAAACATATAATACTAAAATATAATACAATAAATCCAATAAATACTAGAAAATATAATTGTACAAGCCACTAGGTATACTTATGCGTGACAAACTCTTGCGTGCGCTTGGTCCTACAGGTAGGACGCGTAGAGCGGCTAATGCCAGATCTAAGATTATAATTATGCACAACCTCCTCCTGTTTGAGGAGCATCAAATGCAAGGGGTGATTCTCATTCCGGAGTCTATCAATATAAACCTGGCATAGATGGGCGCCTCCGTCACTTAGAGTTGTTAAGTTAAGGGCATTTAATGCCTCGTAACTCATGAAAGGAAAAATGATGCGCATAGCCCTTTTCTGAATGCTCTCAATCCTATAAGATAGAAAATCTGGTATATTTTGCCAGACAGGGGCAGCATATTCTAGAACAGGACGAACAATGGTTGTATAAACCTTAGCCAGTGAAGCTGGAGGTGCACCACATTGCTTAAGGACCCTTAAAGAGTAAAGCCTCCTGTTTCCCTGTTGCTCTATAACTTCTACATGATGGTTCCATTTCAGGTCATTACTTACATAAACGCCTAGTAACTTATATGTCATGACTCTCTCAATTGTGTTACTACCAATTACAATAGGATTTACAATAAAATTATGATTACTCATAAAATTAATTAGCATCTCCTTGCATTTAGTAGGGTTCAATTTCATTCTGTGATCTTCAGAAAAAGCATAGATATCGTTTGTAACAAAATTGAGTAGACTGGCACTGTTCCTAGGGATTATTTCAAGGGCTGTGGTATCATCAACAAACTTTATTCTAAGGTTCCATGAGCGCAATAAATTATTTGTCATGATTGTAAACAAAATGACTCCTAACTTGGTGCCTTGTGGTATACCGCCCTTGGGAGTTTTCCACACAGATGTAATGTTCTCAATCCTCACAGCAATTTCGGTCCTATTGAATGCAGGTTTGACTGTGACTTATTGATATTCATTTTTTTTATTTTTCTGGACATACGGAGAGACTACCACCAACATCTCACCAGGTGACCTTAATCTACGTCTCGTGTGCTCTTAATTTTGTGGCTTTAAAGTGCTGGGAAAATTGTAGAACATATATTAATTCACTGCTGAACTGAGCACATGCTGACATGTCCAGTCAGACTTGACATGGGTTTGACAAGCAGATGTATTTTATAGAGTATCTTTTCAATGTCTACTCTTGAAGTGAAGTGGAACATTTCTTAATTTTATTAATAGGTATAGTCCTACTGTCTAGAATTGGTTTACTAAATAGTTATCTAACTGTTCGACAGCGATACTAAAGCAATCCTATCATGTCCTTGTTATGACTCTTTCTAGACTTTCAATGCGTTACCCTCAAACACGGCAAGATACCTGCAAAGCAATTTATCAGCGTTTTGTCAGCACTGCTAAATTTGCCCCAGGAATAAAACTGCCCCAATCACGGGCACACATATAGCTCAGAAACGAAACAAAATTATCAACTTGTGCTTAAGTTGCCACTGCAATAAGTCCACCATAACTACCATTTTGATGGCTGTCAAAAAGTGCTATTTTGTTTTGTTCATTGCCAAAGCAAAGCAGCATTGACTTGTCGGGAGGAGTTATTAGTATTGCACATAGATTTTCTTCACTTCTGCGTATGTGATTGAGCTCATTTGTGAGAGAGGCTGGAGAAACAATCCCAATGTCCCGTGAAATTGTTAGTCCAAAGTTGTCTTGTCTGCAGGGCCTCCCTGGCATCCAGATTAGGCTGATGAGAAGGCATGGCCAAGGATTTGTAATGGATATTTCCGTCCCTCATGGTGTTGGCAAATAATGCAATGGTGTTCATAATTCCTTGAGGAGAGGGCATTGGGGGCTCACCATGGAGAAATTTCATAGCCCCAATGGCTGCAATGGCAGTACATGCATTGCTCCCAATTGGAAAACCAAAAATTGTTGCTTTGGAAAGATGATAAGGTAAGATGTATTCAGCAATGTGTCCATAATGGAGTGTTGGTTGCAAAGCGGTTGAATGTTTTTGAGTCGATGTACATGTATCATGGGTCGCACACACACCATTACTGCATCTGAGGCATCTGACTGCACTATTCTTTGGATATGTGTGTCCCTTTCTTGGGTGACCACATCGTTTGCATAGTTGTTGTCTCTTGGGTGCTGTGCTTGCTGAGGCAGGTGGCTGGATGTGCGATGGATGAACTTGACTTGGTTGGCTTGGTGAGCTTGATACTTGGTTTAATGGTGGGGATGGTGGTGTTGGTAGTGCTATTATGTCTTTATTCACATGTTTTATTTTTTCATCCACCCTCTAGTTCACTGTCATCTGCTGGTAGGTTCTTGGATTGTTCATTTACACTTTCTTTTTCTTTAGGGTTTAGAATAGCTTCCTTGGCAGTTTTCGAAAGACTCTCTGCTTTTTTTGCAAGGAAGGCTTGACAGAGGGGACAAAACTGTATTTCGCCAAGGCAGGAATGATGGAAAGAATGTGAACAGCCCTCAAATATTTTCCCAGACAGATCTTTATTTATGTTGCACCCTGGTAAATCACATCGACTGCTTTGGTCTGGAATGGTGCTGGTGCAGTATCCCAGAGGTAAGACTTTAATCTTGACAGGCTCATCTCCAAATATCTTGGGTAACAACACTTTTGTAGTTTTGCCTTGAGTAGAGATTTTTGCTTTTCCTGGGTTCTTGGCTATTCCTGTAAATATGTTTGCAAGGATGTTTGCACATTTGGCCTTCAGACTTTTGAGGTTATTAAGTGACCACTGCGGTTTCTTGGGTTGGGTGAAGTGTTCTTTGAAGTGCTGCTGTTCCATTTTTGACTGAAACACAACTTTCGCTTTCTTCTGTATTTGTTCAGCTGTGTCATGGGTGTTGGTTTTAGAACGTATGATACTATGAGTGTTTTCTACAGGATACTCAACAAAGATAACCAAATTTGTCAGAAGCAGTTTATATAAGGCAGGATGGTGCATGCCCCAGTAAGAGCACATAGAAAGCCAAACTAGTGGGGCCTTATTGTAATGATGTCTCTCAAGACAAACAAACATCACCCATATCCTGATCATTGCATTCAGACACTCTTGAAAGTTATTTAGTTTCTAAGTAACACTGTAGATGGAAAGGACAAGTGGTAGATAATTGTCGATCAAATTAAAAAGAGTTGTGTATTCAAAGTCCTTGCAAAAACAACATTTGCTCTTAACACTGTCCCTGATAAAAAGCCATCCAGAGTAGACCACTTCAAGTATCAGACTGATTCTCCAGGGCTTAGGATTCTTTGCCAATTTGCTTTTTGGAAAGAGATTATTATAGACAGTCTCAAAAAATTGCCGATAATCATGAAACACAGTTTCTCTTCCATTTAAGGAGATGTGAAGGGATCCAATACGCGGAATTATGGAAAGAATTCCTGGTTGCCCAGATGTACTAAAGTTCATTTGTTGTTGTATGGGTCCAGAAGAGCAGACTCTTGCATATGAATGATCTGTAGGGCACACTTGAGGATTATCAAAGACATCAGATGGGCAGCAAAATTTCTGAAGGGTTTCGTAAATGACTTGTCTGGAGTAGAACTGAGCAGGCCAGTCACCAGGTTGACTAATAAGAAATAACTTGAGATTTTCAGAAAGTTTGGTACTCAGTACAAGGTCAAATGCAGCATCAAAGTCATTTTTGCTTTTAAGTGTTAATTGGAAAAAGTTAACAAGGTGTACATTGTCCATGTCTCGTAGTCTGAACAGACTCATGGTGGCAGTATTCATTAGCAGTTACCCTGTGTCTTTCAAATTCGGGATTGAAAAAGGTGTCAGTTATCCAAGGAGGCATCAGGGATGAATATGTCAGAGTTAATTTATGCATAGTAGATGGCCCAGAGACTGTGTTTATACAGGAAGTAATATTGAGACCAGAAGGATTATGATAAGTTGAGACATGACAGGCAGGTATGGCTGGAACATTTTTGAAAACTTTGATTATGATAGTACAAAAGAAATTGGCATTAGTGAGTTCCTCGTCTTGTGGTCGTCTTTTTGAGTAAATAGTTGTGTAGTCATCTACAATTTATACCAGTTGCCACGTGTTTATAATAGCTTCAACCACCACGTCGTCAATTTTTTTGCCTGCATTCTGGCTCATTGTGTTCAGAAGGCTGCACACTTTACTCCTACTACAAGCTCCTCCCATCACTTGCTCTGTCTGCAGATCTTCCATGTTAATATTGGACAGCCTCAAATACATAGAAAGGTCAGTCTGCAGCCAGTTACACACTTAACTGAGGCCATAACATAGGTTGTAGAGGATTGTGACAGTCCTTTTTCGATTTAAGGCAATTCGCTCTGTTGAATGTCTCTCATCGGTCATTGCTGACAAAATAAAATTAAATATAGTATTGGCTCCAGCCCTAGTGCAGAGTGCTTCAATTCATCTGGATCATATATCGGAGGCTTCTTATGGAACTCTTTGTACATAGTTTCTTCTAAACACTGTAACTTCCTTGAGAGGTCGCACCCTGCAAGTCATCCAGTGAATGTATGAGTAAATAAAAAGTGATTGTGTCTGTCTGCCTATGTAGTAACCTGTATTACAGTCTTTTAGGCTTTTTTTCCGACTGTCTATCTGTTTGCTGGCCTGTTACTCAGACGTTTTGCCTTCTGTGCATGTCTAGTCTACCTGTGTATTTGTGTGTGTTTGTCTGTCTGTCTGTCTGGGAAAATGATAGAATGGGATTTCGCTTACTTTTTGAAAGCATTTTCATCCTTTTATCTACTTCATCAAACAAGTCCGGGGGGAATAGCACCCGACCACATGGCCCTCTTAAAATCTGCCCAAAGCGTGTGTTATCCACTTGCCATGTAGACAACGATAATGTCTCCTCTGCTGGTCGAGTGCCTGCGTTGGATGCCGTTTCCATTTTCCTTTGTGATTGTATTTTTGACTTTTTTGGGCACCCAGCTTTTGCGCACTTCGAACCCAGTCGCTGAAATTTGCAATGATATTTTTTTTAATATTTGTGTTCCTTTCCCATTTCAAAACAAAGGAAATTGAAAGTGTCTACTTGCATCAACAAACGTTTCGGCACTTTGTTTAGACTTTGCTGATGTCAGCGCAATCCTACAAGCGTTACATACTCGCGCGCTGTTATCTAGGTCAAGTGGGGAGATGAAATTGGATAGTATCTCATGGTAGGTTGAAGCCGATCTACTTTGCTTTTGTTAAGACCATGTTAATGTTTTTTTACAAACAACACATTCTATTAAATTACGCGCACATTGGCCAAGACCAACGAGCAATATAATCGCCAAGACAACCTAAAGACGCGCCATTTTGATGAAGGCAGAACCTGTGGTGAGCCTCCATGCCAATCGTTTGTTCAGCGGTCGCGCATGCTCATGCAAAAAAGGCCCCTGTTAAAGGTTGCATGTCACAAGACTGGCGTGAAACAAAAGCGTATCCGGAGTACTCGGTCCCATAGGCTAACTTTGTCCTTTTAGCTTACCTTTCCACCAGCCTTCCGAGAACTTTTGCGCCGAAAACACACACCCAGAATCCTCCCTCTGTTATCTCTCCTATGATCTTCATGTAGAAGTCGCCAAAGAGAAATGATTCCTTTCGGTTTTTTCGGAAGTATGTAGCACCATCTTCGATATAAAAATAGCTAGTATGTTGTACATATGGCTCATGTAGCTTGTAACAAATCAGAGCGCGAGAAAGACAATAGGGGTATTGTTTTGGGGGTGACGTGACTCGTTAGCATGGGATACGTCATCAATTTGTTCACGTGACCCATTTCGACCAATCAGAAAGCAGCAACCTCAACTGCTGCCCAGGCCCTTCGCATTCATATGAGGGCCTACGTGCATGGAGTTAGTACGCATGTGCAGTTCTCCAAAATGGTTTTGCCCTGCGCAGTCACGTGAATGGGATCATAGGCTCATGCGCAGACCGCCAAAATACTCCCCAGGTCCCCCGCATTTATATGAACGTATTTCCGCATAGACCTACTGCGCAATTGCAAACACTCAAAAGAATCCTCAGACCATTCGCATCACGGGAAGTCAATGAAAAATACACTGTATTCGAAATAAAATCACTTTGTTGGTTTAATACATTCTCGAGAGGTACTTATTTACAGTCGGGACATGTGCGACATCCTGGTGACGTCACGCCCCTGAGTTTAATACATGAAGAGAAGAAAAGGCGTTTGCCTTTTGGCTGAGTGGGTCATGAGCGAGGAACGTGGCCATCGAATGAAGTGATTGAAGCCTGTCATCGACCACGGTTTTATGAGGTTGTATTGAATATCAATTAAAGTGACTAAAAGGAAAAAAAGGGAATGGAGTGAATGGGACGTTTCAAACAAGCCATGAAGCAAACTGGATGGCATAAAGCCCACTGTTGCAGCGGATGAGACAGTGGTTTAGTATCCAATGAGTGACTATAAGAAAATATAGAATGACTTAATTACAGTCGGTACATGTGCAACGTCCTAGTGACGTCGCGCCCTTGAAGTTCGTATATTGACACAAAAAAGATCCAATAAAGACCACTCTTGGTTGAAGTTGAAATTATCTGATATTCAATGAGTGACTGTGAATGGGAAAAAAATTTATAATTTAATGGTTTATTTTGGGTCGGAAAAGATGTAGCAGACTGAACCATCCGTGGTGATAGATAGCTTTATTAAGAAGTAAAATCATTGCAGCCCCCGGGCCGGCTGAAATGTGACTTACTTTACAATGAAACTAAAAATTATCTATAAATATATGATAACTACTATAAAAACAGCAAAATATAACCTACAATAAAATACAAAAGGAGAAGTACCAACACCAAAATACTAATAATTAAGATTGCTACTAATAATTAAAACTGTTCGCTATAATAAAAGTGTTTTTAAACGTATTTGTCCTACAAATGGGTAGTTTGAAGTATCTCTGGCTACGGGTGCAATAAGAGGACCCTTTGCATGGCGGCAGCAGATCATGGACTTGTGGCTTTGGTCCCTTACAATTTGGTCAAATAGAGCATTACTCAAGGCCTTCCTCCTCTCGTACAGTGACTTGCCAGCCATTTTGCGACGATGGACTTCATGATTGAGCTTGCGGGCAATGGGGTGATCCCACGGGAGCTGTTTGGCCAAACGAGTCATCTCATCCGTGGTGCAAGGTGTTTTAGAGAATCCTCCTGAGAACCTGATTGGTGGAGAGGCATCACGTGGACATGACGTGGATGAAAAGACAATATAGGGGGTACGCCTGATGGGTACACTTTTTCGTGCAACATCTCGGTGAGGATCGACAGTGGAATCAGGTAGTGTTGCGCCTGCATGTGCCCAGAGGAAGCCACTGTCACCACTGCCACCAACTCATGTAGCCACAGGTTATCCGTAAGTGAGTGGTGCTGACATGTTTTTTTGTGAATGACTGAACCATACGCTGAGGTCTGTTGTTATTGTTCACAGATTGATATGATGGCGGAAATGGCGCGTCACCCCATGAACCTGGAAAACCTCATGAACGAGGGGTTGGCTTTTGCCATTGAGCGTTTACAGTACAGAATACCCCATTGTCCTATTGGACGGCGCCCGGTCATGATCGGAAGGAGGAAGATGTCCTACAGTACCCTGGACAAAGTGATGACGCGATTGGACAGAATCATGAGTGTGTTGGAAGCCATGAATTTTATTGTCATTGATGTACATTGAGAGGGTTATTAAACGTATTACATATCATATTAGTGTCCTATTGTTTTTATGTTGATGAGTGTTGGAATAAAGCGTCCAAGGTGGGATAGACCACCTTGTCTTCTTCTCGCGTGCCTACAATCGCTGTTTTCTCCTGTAACGTGCGAAGACTTGCCTGTTCCTCGGTCATGCCTTCACAGGGTTGATATTGTTGGAAGGTGGGATTCCACCAATACCACTGTTCCATATCCAAATCAAACACGCAGGGGTTTCGATAAGATTTGAGCCATGGCCACACTCCATCCCGTACCGCCCAACACATGCTTGCGTAACTCATCAAAATACCCCAAAGCTAAGACCAAGGAAGCAGGCTTGATCACGTGATAATTACGTTGTAAATACTGAAGGGTGATGGGATGGGAGACATGTCGACCTAATTGAAATGCGGCCCGAGTGACCATAGATATGGCGGCGTCCAAGTCGGGCTGGGTCAAGGGCTCGAGGGTGACAGGGTGGGATGAACACCACACACGGATGACCATACTTGATGTTCCACATGCGTATCCATGCCTTCGGCACCACCCGTGTAAATAGTCAGCGGCATTGCCTGTAAAATGGAAAAAATGTCTGAATTAATGTTTGTTCTTGGACAAGGGATTGCAAGCCCACATAGTGTGCGGTTCATCATCGGCATACATCAGGGGTTCCTGCCATTTCCGGTAGGTGACAGTTTGTTGAAAGATACGTCGGACGGGTCGGCATTGACAGCAATTATCGGGGATCCAATCTAGGCCTTTGCCTTCGGCAAACGTGTCATGTCATCAATACAATGATTGCATAAGATCTGATCCAAAAGACGAAAAGCACCCGTTGGGCATTGACTTGAAATGTCAACGGAACCAGCCACTCATTTGACAGGCCCGTACGCGGGCGCAACTATCGTGCCAGATACCGCTACCGCGTTCCCCTTCGCTATGATCCGTGCACCAATTACAACCATGATCGTTGGTGGCCATCACATTGACGGTGGCAATGGGAAGACTGGATAACTCCCTGCATTCTTGCCCTTCCAAGACGACCATAGGGTAAGAAAAGCTTGGCTCTTTCAACAATCGATAGAGACCATTGACGGTGAAGACACCCAACCGCCATCGTTCTGGGGTGAGATATTGTTGACACCAGTGGGTGACATCGTCCCTTAACTGATGGTAAGGATGAAATTCTTGTCGGTTGTGATCTGACAAAAACGGTTCAAAAGGTAAACCATGCACCGTCTTGGTCTGACGATCCACTCGGGCCTTGGCGTCCTCGGATAAGAGGTCGTACGTCAGTCTAAGGGGTAACGTGTATTTGAACAACACGTGAGATGTCCCATCCAATCAGAAAAAGCCAGTTCCCGAACAATATACTCATCCCGGGAGATAGCAAACCCCCGACTGTAAACCAAGAGACCCACTTCGCGTGAAGACATGATAACTTACCATAGAACGGTGAGAGAACCAACTGATAAGAAAAGTCAGGAAACCAGCCGTTTTATAACAGATGGAGTGGGCCAGGATTGGTGGAAAACAACGTCACACCATCATCAAGTACATCAGAACCATCACACATAACCGAAAGGAATGGTTCCAGAAAAACGGAGAACTCAAAGCAGCAGCAGCCACAGAAGAATTTTGTGAAATAATCAAGGAAGCGGCCAAAGGGGATCACGAATTTATGCACCTCTTAGAACTTGATGAAAACCTCAATTTCTCTTTCGATGTGTTCAAGAAAGTCCCCACAGCTCAGAGGCTAGTTCTTTACTACAAATCAGCAAAGGACCTATGTGTTGTTGGTATCAAGATGGAAGATGAACTCCTCCAGAAAATCCACCTCGGCATTTTAGAGTATCTGGAATGGTTTCAGGTTCAAGGTTACCCAGAGAAACCTGAACTGTGCAGTAAGGCGTTTGAACTGCACCACGTGTGTACGACTCTTCAAGATGAGGTGAAAGATGGATCAGTCTTCTTACAGTTTGTGGAAGAGAAGAACAGACAACGAAGAATGCAGGTCAGTGAAGAAGCATGTTCTGATTTGGAGGACCAGCTCAAGGACCCCAACTATGTCGCTGGCACACCCCCAGCATCAGAGAATGAAGAAGAGGAAGTGGAGGGGTCACCCGTGAAGAAAGGAATAAAGAGGAAGATGATACACCCTGTGTCACGTATCAAGACAAAAAAACCAAAAAAAGGACAACCTGGAGATAGCGACGGAAAACAAAAGCCAAAGCAGAAAATCTAGGAAAAGAGATCCCATCACCGAAAGGAGGAATGCCCCGTGTGCCATAAAGAGATTTTTGACCTCCTTCACCATATTAGAAAACATGCAGAAAAGGGCGCCATTTCGCAAGATGTTTCAAAAATGGCAAGTGTGGCAAAGAGGAAGCATAGGAGAAGAGCAGTACACCGCGGTCAGAGGCCCGAACTAAAATACAAATGGTGCCCCTATGAAGGCTGCCAGGCTGTGACGCATCTGCTGAGAAGCCATCTCCAATACAAACACTGAGCGCGATCTGGGAAGTTGCTTGACACGTATGTTCGGGTGGCTAGAGAGTATCGCGGGAAGAATGAGGCAGAGTCCCTGCAGATATATAAAGAGAGTGAAACGCCGCAACGGTCAGCAACGCCCTCAAACGTCATGGACACCTCATCAACCAAGACCATGCAAGAACATGAGGGACCATCCACCTCCACTCCATCAGAGGAAAACAAAGAAGAGGATGATGATACTGGAGTGGAGTACACCCTGCAGGAGGATTTCTTCACCTCGGCAAACCCAACGACCGATAGGCACAGGTGGTTGATAGCCTTTTACAACCACCTCAACCTGCCCGATGATGAAAGGAAGGCAAGGAATAGACTGCAGCATGCAGCACACATCAAAACTATCCTGGAAGACCTAGATCCAGAGGGTTCAAACCTAGAGGTGTTGTCCCGAGATGAAGGCTATATAGTCTGGACAGACTGGGTAGACCTAAAAATGAACATCCTAAAAACAGGCACCATCAATGCGTACCTTGGCACGTATCAAAAATTCCTGACTTTTGTGGTAGAGGAGGGAGTGGCACGAAACGAGTTTTTCGCAACGTGATACTGAAGTTGAAAGGTTGGCGAAGAACCGTCGACATCGATCTGCGTCCCCAAAGAACACAGCACATCCTTGACGAATGCGACAATCGCCTCACCAGTGACGACGTGGAAAATTTCTGCCAGACCAAACAAGTTCGTGAGGCAAAGGTTATTTTGGAGAGCGCCACAGAGTCCCAATTTCTAAGCGAACGTCAGCTGACTGATGCGAGGGATTACCTAATCACGCTAATAACCTTTAAGACAGGCACACGGCCGGGGGTTGTTGAGGCCTCAAATGTAATAAATGACCCGAAATGTAATAAAGGTCCTAAGTGTAATAACTTTTGGCCCTAAATGTAATAAAGGTCCTAAGTGTAATTCTTTCAGCTCTTTACATGCTTAGGGTCATAAGAAGACTTTATAGTGTTGGATTTTAGCCTTATTACAGGTTAACTGAGCGCCAGAATGTGTCTAGGGAAGTATCAAACACTAAATACCCCAGGCAGATCCCCTACTGATAGCCATTTGAGTAACAACTTATTTTTATTATTATTATTATTATTATTGATATTATCATTATCATTGTTATTTTTATTGTTGTTATTAACTGAAAAGAATGTTTAATCGAAATGAATTGTAAATAATCCTTTGACCGAATAGTGATTAATTGTAAATAGGTTTTAATAGCTAGAATTGTTATCAATAATACTTCTGTAACGACAACTTGAGAACAGAGGTCAATGATATGAAGTAATTTTTTCAAGAACTCTTTAATATCAAAAAAGTACTGACGTATCTTAAAATTTATGCAACAAAGCAAAGAAACCGTAACTTCATCCATTGGATTGAACTGAAAAATCTGCTTCATATAGGCAAAGCCCAAAAATGTCAAAATTGCAGCCTGCAGTGCCACCATGATTTCTAATCTGAATCAATAACACAACATAAGCTAAACTGTTTTTACTTTGGCTGTTAACAAATGGGTGCAAGTAAGTGTACTTTAATTGCTTCCTCGTCCTTTCCACCATACATTGGTAACATAAAACCAAGTTCCAACCCCAGCAAACAACAGCTCAACCCACGCATTTATCCATCTGGGGTTGGCTATTATCTCTTTAAGAGCCAGCACAAGTCCACTGTACGAGCCAAAATCTTTGCACAACTTGCGCAAGCTGAAACAGCCATTTCACGCACTGTCGCGATGGTTGTAACTTATTCGTGGGAGCCGACAAATATAACGCATTGTGAGTTCTTTAAAGGGTTCGCCAAGCTGGCAAAGGGAATTATAGGTGATAATAGTACTTATGTCAGTTCCAGTTAACGCGAAGTCCATTTTTTTGTCAAGTATTTCATTTGGAAGTTGACTGGTTTGACCACCATTATCATCATAATCACAATCATCGTTTTCTTCTTCTTCCTCCTCCTCCTCTTCTTCTTCTTCTTCTTCTTCCTCCTCCTCTTTTTCTTCTTCTTCTTCTGTTTCTCTCTGATCATCACCAACGTTGTTATTTTGTTCGCATTCCATAAGACCATCATCATCTTCTCCTTCTTTCCGATCTCCATCATTAGTATGACACTTGGTATGATTTTTCTGATTAGCAACGCTCTTAACGGGTACGTCAACGACAATATTTTCTTCTTGGGTCAGACAGTTAAGTGCGATGTAGTGTTCACCGTGGTTTTCCGCAAAATGTCCAATGAAAAGTGTTGTTGCTGGAACATTTAGGCCAGGATGAAACACATGGCTAGTACCAGCACCAAGCGATGATATTATGTAAATGTTAACGTTATAAAGGTTAGCTGCAGTTGGTCGCCGTAGGTGTGGTCTTGTGCCATGTGGGTAAGGTACTGTGGCCATGAATCAAAGTATGGAACCCATTCGTACAACGGAAAACCATCTTCATCTAGTGGGTTTGTTTCCAGATATTTAACAATTTCCTCCCTCATGGTTTCTGGCGACCTTAAGACTCCCAGTGAACTAAGATGATATGCCAAAGCTGCAAACTGGCAGTTTCCGTTCCCTGGGGGATTGTATACTAATTTATGTCCTTGATCTTCTATTATCTTAAGGTAGTCGTCACTTCCCATTGGAACAAGAAATTTTTCCCTGTGCAATTTACTTTTTTCTTTTTCAATTCTTGCCGCTTTTTGCTTTAGGTTTTCTTCTCTCAGAGTCAGGCTTGTGATGTCCACAACACTGGACCACCGTCGTTCACGCCTTCCAGATGACGGCGACTTAAACGAGACTTTGTATGAATGCTTTTTTAGATTTTTTTTTTCTACGACAGCTTCTATTACTTGTTGTTTTCTTGAAGATTTGCCCTTTTTACTGAGTCGGACGTGAACTTTCTCACCTATTCTGTATCTTGAGGGAGGATTCGATTTTAAGTGCGTCTTAACCATTCTTCGATGGCAACGTTCAGTCGCGGCATGAGCCGCTTTTCGGGCATCTTGAGCTCTTCGGCAACGACGTTCTCTATCTTTGCAGGTTGGATTGCATCTGCCAGCATTTGTTACCAACTCTTCACTTACTAAATCTTCACTTTTCGTAGCTCGGTTAGTATGGGAACTAGGTTTGCGTGCAAAATATACTTCAAACGGAGATTTGTACTTTAAAACTTCTTTGGGTTCCTCGTTTAAACTTTTCTGGTACTCAGGTAGTGCTTTCGCCCAATTTAGACCTTTTTTCCCCATTTTCAAAAAATCATATTCCAACTTGGAACGTGGAGCGCGATGACTTCTTTCTATTTTTCCTTGCGACTGGGGATGGTATGGGCTGCTGTGTACCATTTTTACTTTTAATTTACGACAAAGTCCTTTAACAGCTCCTTTGAATTCAGAGCCTTGGTCACTTTGAAGTACAATAGGGGGACCATTTTCCATGTATATAGCCTTTAACTCAGCCGCAACCGCTTTGCTAGTTTTACCTGCAAGAGGTCTAAGACAAATGAACCGACTTAAAAACATCCATAACGGACAGTACATATCGATAAACAATTCCTTTAAATTCAACGCTTCCACGCTTTCCAAGATCCATTAGATCCACTTGATGTCTGACTTGCACATCTCGCGCTCGGATCGGCTTAAGGATTGCTTTGTTCAGAAATCTGGCATTTCTGCGGTAATGCAGTTTGTCCTTGTTCAAAATGTCCTGTACACGGCTTTTACTAAGACCGACGAAATTTTCTTTCAAAGAGCAGACAATATTTCTAGCTCCAGATCCCTTTGTGCGATGGAACTCGTCTGCAACAACGCGATTAACTTCCGAGCTCCTTAATACTCGAAGATTTTTGTAGAAAAGAACCTCTTTGCTGTTTTCTTCTCGGATACTCAGTTGGCCTCTAGATCTCCAAAGGCGTATAGCAGCAGACTTTTGAGCTCTGTTCCTCTCTTTTACTGGTGGAAGTGAGTCACCTTTGACAAGTACGAGCAAGGCATCATAAATATCATCTGAAATTGCAGAGGGCTTTCTATTTCCTCGACCTTCCACTTTTTTTACAGCCAATACAAAACTGACTAAAACGAAGAAACTAACAAGACTTAAAACAAGGAGCAATGATCTCTTCATTTTGAAGCAAACTCAATCAAGAAAGCATTCAACACGTAACACGACCATCGGATAAAAGTTTCAAGATTCTGGCATGTCTAGACTTAATTTGTCTAGACACTTGTTACGTCACAGGTGAGGGAACAAGTCAAAACTGCGTTGCTAGGCAAACTTAATTGCAAAGTGCCTTCCAGAGGGGAGAAACTCGCGTGTTGTTGATGTTTTGATTTTTCCCTTAATGTTAGCTCTAAAAACAAAGTTTTTAGGTCTTCAAAGTAGAGTTCCTTATACACTCGCTAGAAAAACAGGAAAGCCAGCTGTTATTTGGAAATGTGATTTCATTCATGTGGTGAAATCCTGGAAAAAAAAGTTAGCATAAAAATTCACTTCAAGAAGTACTCCTGGTAGAAATTAAAATCAAAGTCAGGAAGTCAGAAAAACTATCAAGATATACTGCCCTTAATAATCTTGCTGTTTATATATAACTTCGTGTTCACAGCAGATTCGATCATTCTGTATGACCCAACCGACATACTCTTTTGGAAAATGATAAAAAAAAAACAAAAATTAATGAACCATTTCTCTTTTTGGCGCAACATTAAAAAAAATCTATAGGCAAAAGTAGTTAATTTACTACGATTGTTTCTAATGAACATTAATGCGTCCTTCAATTACTAAATTACTACTGTATTTTCAAAACTTTTGCGTAGATTCCATTTGTTTATAACTCGCGTTTCACGGTGTAGGGATGTCACGGTAGTAAGAAACACGATCGAGATGTAGTTAATTAACAAGTGCTTCTCCTACTTCTTGAACGCTCTAGCCACTTTCTAAGACAATGAATATCTATGAAGACTACAATAGGGCGAAGAAAGTGAATCACCAGCTGGCTATAGCATTAATATCGCATCAGACCGTCGCATGTTTCAGTCAGGGACTTTATCAAGTTTGTAGCTGTTATACTACATACATGTATGCTGTTAAGGATTTCATTACATTCAGGGCTAAGACCTATTACACATATAATTAGACCCTTACTTACATTTAGGGCCAAAAGGTATTACACTTAGGACCTTTATTACATTTAGGGCCAAAAGTTATTACACTTAGGACCTTTATTACATTTAGGGTCATTTATTACATTTGAGGCCTCAACAGGGTGTTAGAGAACTGCCGAATGTGTTATTACCAATCAATGCGCAAGGACCCCAAACGTTGCCATTAGGTGATTTTGGTGCCCAATCACAAAAGACAGAGGGATGGCCCAGCAATGCTTTTCCTGAATAATTCCTTAAAAGATATGTTAGATGTTTACGTGGCTGAGATATGTCCTAAATTTCCAGCACCACAGGATGAGCAACTATTCCTGCAGAGCAATGGCAAAGCATTCAAAGGTGGAAAAATTGCCAAAAGGCTCCCAGAATTCTGACAGAAATCAGGTGTGAGACCAGATCTTCGTGTAACAGCGACAAATATCCGCAAGTGGATAGTGACAACCTGCCACCAAAAAAAGTGCAATGGTGCATCTTTTGATGAAAGTGTAATACGACATGCAATGTGTCACTCCGATAGGGCTGCAAAAGCAAACTAGCTAAGGGAGGACCTTACTGAGGTATCCGCAGCAGCACTTGACATCATAGCTGCATGTACCTCCACTCAAACATCAGAGCTGAATCCTGTCAACAGCGACCACGTCAGTCCTTCATCTCCGGAGGCAGAGTCCAGTAAAGTTCGTCCCCTCACCATTGACTTCGACCATGTCAGTCCGTCATCCCCTGAAGCTAAGTCCAGTAATGTCTGTCCCCTAACCAGCGAGGAGAAGACCTTAATCAAAACCATCTTCAATGACATTATCGTCAAAGATCAAGTAGTGTGTGTACGCGACATAAGACCACTACTGATGACTGACACAAAGCTGAAGACGCTAGTGCCACATAAAACCATGGTGTAGAGGGTGGCTGACCATATCCGCTACCGCCAGGTGAAGCATCCCAGAAAAGATCCCAACGAGCTTCCCCAGGCAGACGCTGAAAGCAACATCTCAGAATGGCTAGAAGCATAAGCAGGTTCTATGACTGGAGGAAAATCTGAGTGGGGACAAGAAGATAATGAATTAATGGAGAAGTACTTCGGTTACAGGCAGAAACCTCCTAAAAAAGCAGAACTGATGGAAATGCTTCACCAGACGGAAGAACTGAAAGAACATCTTACCAGGAAGACTTTCCAGCAGTGTAAATACAAAATCAAAAACATGCTGCGAAAAAGGAAAAAGCAAGCTTGCTAAACCTGGTTAAGAACAGTTGGTCATTGGGCACTTTCTACCGGGGCGAGAAAGGGTGTGTGGAGGAACACACGGCTATTATGTCCAAAGGTCAAATATAGATATGTAAATAGCTTCAGTTTCCTCGAATCCAGAAGATAAATACGTAAACGATGCAGAAGATAAATATGTAAATAGTTTCAGTGTCCTATAAGACAGTAGATAAATATGTAAATTTCGTCAGTTTTCAAGAATACAGTAGTTAAATATGTAAATATTTCCAAAAATTAAAAAAAGGGAAGGGGAGGCGGACCAGGGAACCACATCTACAACATCGATGAAATCCTGGCAACAAAGAGTGGGGATGGTGACCTCATGATACCTCAACGAATACGTATATGAAATTATATATTTTAACTCAATGTAATATTGTAAATTAACAATAACACTCAAGTTAGCTTCTTCAAAACTCTCGTCTTGGAGCAACACGAGCTGAGGTAACCAACCCTTGGGGAGTGCCAGCGAGAGCATTTGATGGTGCCTTACTTGAGGTACAAAAAAAATTAAAAATATTGCAAGAACATTGAAAAAATCAATGATCATGGCAACAAAGAGACAAGTTGGTAACTTGCTGACGCCTTCTGAATGGCTTTTGGTAACGCATTTGCACTATCAAGTCTCAGAATAATACTCCTCCTGTCCAGTTTTAAGGTGAGAGGGGGACCATGAAACCAACATACCCTTCCTTTCTTTCGGTAGAAATCATGGCATTGAGATTGAGGTACACCAAAGAAGAGGATGAGTGTATCCTAGCACTTGTTAGAACAAAACACAGCGACCAAATAAGCGGCAATTCCATTTGGAGAGAGGCGGAGCTCTTACAGGTAACTGTATAATACAACATACTCAACCCTAACCATCTTTTGTTCTAGCCAAAACTGTCTTATTGATAGGTTGTTCCAGGTGGCACCTTTCAGTCACTGCGGTTAAGATACTTAAAAGTATTGCGGCCGCAGTGGCTGAATACCAGAGAAAGAGTCTCCTGGAGGACCCGGGAGCCCACGCCAGAGTCAAGTACGGAAGAGGGGACGATTATTATGAACACCAGGAGGATGAAGATACACAAACGTCGAGTACCGATGAGGAACAAGAGTATGAAGAAGATACGAGGAAGGAGATGAAGAAGAAGAAGAAGAGGAGATGGAAGAGGAAGAAGATGAGGCGGAGGAGGAAGAAGAAGAGAAAAAGGAGAAACAAGGGGAGAAAAAGAATAAAGAAGAA